GTTACATAATTTATCCCTTAAACTGTACTTAAATGTGTTACTGTATGATCGAAACATCATCAGATCTTCCTCGGAAATCTTCCGTAATCTTCGGAAATTTTCGGAAAATGTTCGGAAACGTTTGTTAGGCCTTCAAACAACTTTTGGAGAATTTTCGAAAATCTTCGGAAAGTGTTCGCAAATGTTCGGAAAATCGTCAAAAAAGTCGCCATTAGTGTGTTTATATAATAAACAAGATAATACATGGCTGCTTGTAGATATGGAATTTCTCTTCTCGTGTTTATCTTAATATCTCACTCGCTTCCTCTCTCACTCGTGAGATATCAAGTTGAACACTCGAAGAGAAATTCCATATCTACGCTCGCCCATACAATATTCTTTATATATCGTCTAAAAGAAAAAAACAGTAGTCTCATATGAGTTACTTAATTTTCCCGCGCATAAGTTGTCCGCTGTCTTAGAGTTTTAGTTCCCGCTAAAAAAGACGTCTCATTCCAGTCCCTCCGCGCTTACCAGGCGTCGTCATCGTCTCTTTCTTATGTGGCACGGGAATGAACAAGAATGAAGTAAAAACTAAGTTATTTACACTGAGTATACCAGTACAATCTGAATGAGACTCAGTGCTTAGAATGAGTTTGGGATAATGTTGCCTGGCACTGTGGTCCGCTGACTGCTGTGACAGGTAACTTCTACGGACTCTCCAATTTAGTAACTACTTATTGACCTAGAGTGAGGTCTGTAGGGAAGATCCCAGACTGAGACCTGGCCGCAAGGCCGCCGCGTAACGCTGGCACAATCTGGCCAAGGCTTGAATCGATCCCGTCTAGGGGACAGCAATACTCCTCAGATATGCGATGCAACGGAGAAGAACGAAGGTAAGTTTGCACATAGCGTGAATGTAGATCCACCTAAATGCCACAGCGGGCAATGTTATTTTTTGTGCCATTCCCCTGTGTAACTCCTCTCTGAACTATGTCATATTTATTGAGAACATATGGCTTCCTTTGTTTCCACTGGTAATAGGGATTACTTGTGTTTGGCTTATGTACACTCGTGCACTGTCCAGGCAAGTGGACCAATCTAAATCTAGAATAACTGCAACAAAATGTAGTAACGGTAAAAAAAGTATGACTTCGTTGAAAATGTAAATTAGTCTCATTTACAGTGTACTCAACATGAAATTGAGACAATCATATAAAGACAACAAAGTTCTAACATTCCTTTCTGTTTCCTTTTTCCGTGCCAGTTACCTGCACACCATGAGGCGGTTATTGCGGTCAGGGGCCCGTTTCTCGAAGGTCCCGAAAAGTTTTCGCACCGGAAAGTCACAGCAAAATCTCGAAGCATATGATTACAGAGCTGTTTTATTCGCGTATTCTTAATATGAACAGAGGTTCCCTTCAGTCAAGAAGTTTCAGGCGTATACTCCACTCCGTTTTTAGATACAGGTGAACTGAAAGTGGCTTTATGGGCCCGAAAAGTTTCCGGGGCTTTCGAGAAACGGGCCCCAGGTCCGTTGAACTCTTGTCAGCAAATAAAACCTAGGCCCCGTCTGCACTACGCAGGAAGAATTTGAAAAAGGTTTCACTCTTACAACGCATCAAATATTTTTTGTCCACACGACGCCGGAGAAATTTAAAAACGCAACGACCACCGGTCATTTTGGATTTGTGTTTGAGGAAAACTCGGGCAGAGGAATCACATGATTGTCGTGACTCTGACGTTTTCGAAATGCTCCGTTTTTAATGCTTTCTGTTCACACTAAAACGCAAAGCCAGCGTTTTGAAGGGCGTTTTCGAAAAGGTTCGTTTTCGTGACGGGTTAGAATGGACGGTAGGTCTAATCGTAGAAATATAGCTGTGTTTTCAAATTTCTGCGGCTTAGGGTGGAGGCTGCCCTGGTGTATCATCGGACCATTCGAGTGAGAGACGTGAATGAGGTTAAGCGATCCGTGCAATCTGTGTATGATCAGCAACCCTTAATCTGAGGATCTCGCAATAGTTTCTACACTCTATGTAGACATCTGAGGTTTATCAAAATATTGTGGTAACTGCTGGTTTCATAGAGATTAGTAGTAACAGGAGCAGCAACTGAGAGATTCGTGACCTCTCTGTTAAACTGTACAACGCTACGCAGGCGACATGCAATATTTTGACTTGGCAGTTACTCACGGGGAGGAGAGAATCCATATAAAGACAGGGAAGTGATCAACCGTCCTTGTTAAAAAAAAATAATAATAATAAATAATGAAAAAAAAAATTATATGCAATTGACCACTTCTCGTTCTTGAGCTGGTAACTGCCAAACAGGCAGTTAAGTTTGAAAGTGAATTGAAACCACACCCAGAAAACGAGAATTCGGAATCTTTTCAAAATGCCCCATCATCACCACCGTCTCTTCTATATTGATTGTTCAAAGTCCTCCCCATAAAATCTCTACTGATTGTTTCTTCGCTTTCCTTTGCTTATAAGGAGCTCTCTTAATAAGGACGGCTTAGGATTTCAGACAGATTCCTATCGACGGACCTGAGATATTTGCATCTGTAAATATTTTTTCAAGACAAATATTCAAACCGCTGTGGATGATGAGTGACAGCGAATGCTTTGCTCTTTACCATAAATTGAAGGGAAAATGTTCACGGCATCCTCTACTAATGACGAACGTTTTTCCTGTCAGCTTGGCTTGCATTCCACATCTCCATCACGACTTGACTTCATTTTGACCAGTTCCTGTCGAACTACCTTTTCCTGTTCTAGTATCAGCGAGGGCTTTTGGTACTGAGGACAGAAAATAGACATGCGGCATCGAGTTAGCCTGAATTACCGAATCAGACATAATTGTCTGCCCAAACAACAAAATGATATCTTCTGACGACTGAGAATACTTGAAGTACTGTACCACAATAATAAACCCTAGGCTCATGTTGTTGAAGGCTTTCTTGTGGGTTAGTTTTCAGGGAAGGTGTAGGGCGGGGCCATGGAGGGGACAGGGGTGGGTGTGGGTGCGGCGGGAGAGGGCTTGGTATGGCAAGACAAATAATTGCAATTTAATAGTTTATATTTTGAGGCGATACTGTAGTTCAATTTACTTTTTGCAGCATATAAAAATACTGCATCTCAGAACATAACGATGTGAAGGTTCTATAATACCAGTAAAATGAACATCGCGAAGCTTATTTTCAGGGATTTTCTTTAGTGTAACTTTATGGTATACTGCTAATACTAGGATATATCACCACTATAACTGGCATTCAACTTAATTCCAACTTACTGTTATGATGAGAGTGTTATTTGCATGAGCTATGGAGATCGCACTCTGTTCCAGATTTAATTTTGCTCTTTCCATATCAGAAATATGAAATCTTTTAAAATATCTGTGAAGAAAGAAGGAAATTATTAAAGTAGGTTCTTAAAATGAACGGAGGCAAATTTCAGAACTCAGAACTCAGAACTCAGAACTGAACATCAATCAAAGTTGGTTTTCAGTAGAACTGCTGATGGTAAGTTAAACATCCAGAGAGAGGCAATCAATTATAAGTTGGTCAATGGGTGTTTCGAAGGAGGCCTACAACCTGAGGGAGACAAAGTTTCTTGTGGCTTTAAGGAGTTAACTTCCACAGAAGATGTGACCTGCAAGGAGACCTCGGGCATTAACAGGGATACAAATGAGTCCCTGGGACTTAATCCGGGACAACAGTTACTTCTGTAGCTGGTCCTTGTGGATCATGAGCGGCTTTACCCTCTGCCGGTTCAATTTTAATAGTCTTTAATCTTTAATCGTTAATCATTATTTATACACGGCAAAAACATCAGGTAGAAAAAATCACACTTTTTCTACCTGAAAAATTAGTCTGCAGATCATTGCTCCCACCCCTTCCACCCTGTACTGAGTAAAGTATCCGTTAGCTTTGGCTTCTGCAGATTGGATTAGAATGACAGTGAGTAGTGATTGCAGATCACAAGGTTGAACTAAATAGCTAGAACAACACACCAGAATTACTCAGCTGCACATACAGGTGTACACATGTACCTTCAGGGTGCATATTATATACAGTACTCCAAAGCTCATCCATCGCTGATGAGTTTTACAAATACTGAGTCACACAATATATTTTTCATCAGTAGGCAAATTTTTGGCCAGGTTTATATTATGTTCAATGAGTGCCAGTTGACTCTTACTTTTTGTTGCTTGTCCTTACTGTAATGGACTGCTTGTCATCATCAACCGTCACACTGTACACATTCAGAGGATAGGGAAGGTTTCTTATCCTCCACTGAAATGCTTTGCTATTATCTTTTCTTGTGCAAATTGGCTAAGGATGGATATATAT